CATATGATGCCATTTTAGTGTCTTTTTCCCAGTGTTATGACATCAATTCACACCTCCATCCAGGTATCTTGAACGATTAACATCTGTCTCAGACTAAAGCCGCCCATAGATGATGCAATTTTCTTTCCTGCAAGTACAGGTTGCAGGAAAGAAAACTGCTTGCTTCCCCATCAACACAATCAGTGTTGATAGGGGAATCCCTCCTGTAGAGCTATTCTGTTCTCCCATCGGGGAGGTGCGAGAGGTAGTGGGGGAAACGGTCCCTGCCACAGTGATTATTGCTAGCAGCTGTAACTGCTGGCAATATTTGCATTAAAAATTAGACAGGCTGGTTGTACCCAAGTCATACAACAATCAAATTGGGTACAATGAGCCTGTCCATAGATGGTTTGAATCTTGGCCGTTCTCTGCTTGGTTTGCTTAACTGACACCATGACAGTTTACGATAGATTGTGGTTGACTTTTAATAAATGTTGGAAAAATCCTTGTTTTTACCTACTTCTCATCTGGGCTATAGCCAAATGACAGTCGGGCAGGATGTGATATGACTGGATTATGGACATAGATCGGGGTGGCTTTACAAACTTTCACATTTCCCATCATGTTCTTGATTAATTAATATCTGCCTTAACAAATACTAGGATAATTGAATTTCTGTGATTGAGTTATCCATGTGGATATAAATGCTGGGTATCATCTTGACACTTATTAGAACTGAAAAAAAAACTTCTGCAAAATGTCTTTAACATTACAGAACAAGTCCAGTTGCATGTGACTGACTCCTAATATCTATTTATCACACATGTAGGCATCAACTGAAATATTTATATTTTTTTTAATTTTTAACAATTTGTTTTCTTTTTTATTGCATTTTTTGTTTTTGATGATTTTTTTTAACATATGATTTTTTTTCTGACCAAAGCACATGCCCACTGTAACCACACTATGATTGCTTATACCAATGAATTTCACTGTTAAAAGCAACCAGTTTTATGAAATTGATTCATTCAGTGTTTACTATTGTGGTTAGCTGTGATTAGCCACAGTTCATCACATGGTACAGATAGGCTGTGATTGGCCTTGTCTGTACCATGTGATCACTGTGACCAATCACAGAGATCAACAAAAGAGTACACAATGAATGAAATGAATCAATGCCATCCATTGTGTATAATTGTAATGCAATCTACTATGGTTTTTCACAGTGATTACATTGTACCGGCAGTGGCCGGTAGACTGACTGGTATTCCAGGTGACAGATCACACCACAGAGGCGCGCTCCAGGGAGGAAGACATATCACGTCCATCTGGAATGGAGAATGTACTGCCTGGCTGTCATTTGGCTATAGCCCAGATGGGAAGTAGTTAAAAACAAGAATCTTTCCAACATGTATTAAAAGTCATCCATAATCTATCGTAAACTGTCATTTATTAAACCGAAAAATGAGAAGACTGAAATTTTTAACTTAATTGCCTACATTTATAAAAGTCTATCAGGGGTAGTCAACCACTGATCACTATAGCCAATTACTAAATATATGCGCTATAAATGAATAGTGTGGGGGTAAAATTTAAACACTTCCGTGCTATATTAGATATAGGTCCCTAAAGACCCTTTATATCATTGTATCATGCATGAAAGAGATAGAGAAAATATAATTTTACTCAGCTTGTTGAAATGGTAGTACAGCAGAAAATAAGATAACCCTGAACACTAAAGGCCACAATAGTAAAATAGCTGATATATCTTATAGCATCCAGAAAGATCAAAGTTGAAAAACCATCATATTTCCAAATATACGTTTCAAGGCAGACACAATTTTTATTATTATAACAAAGATTAAAGTACACCACTAATAACATGCATGCTATGACAACAACAAAAGAATTGAAGCAGAAAGAACAAGTGTGACTTATAGAAGATTTTGTCACAATTTTTATTTTTGTATGGCAATAGCAGGGTTAAATAAGAAAATGAACTCCTTTGTTTACTGAATCCATTGGGAAAGTTGTAACTCTCCCAGTGTGCTGTCCTCTCCCTTCTTAACACTTGACCTGTTTGTAGATGAGAAGCTCACAAAGCAGAGAAGTCACTTGCTAAATATGTTTGAAGTAGGTCAAGCACACAAAAGAGAGAATGGAGTAGTGCTGATCAATTCTAGGGTCCTTATATGGAGCCAGCAAACAAAATATCCAAGGGGAGTTTTATATTATATCATTATGTCTAATGATCCTCTTCTTCTACATTCCTAAACTAGATATTAAAAGGGTATCCAAACCCACAACCAAAATGTACTGTATATTCTATTGCAATTTACCAGTCCTTAGAGACCAATCCTTGGATACCAAGGATTAGACCTCAGGTGGCTGCATTGTTTTTTATGCTTTTTTTCCTTTATTTTCATTTAGTAATCAAACAAATAACATACTTTTGGCTGCATTGTTTGTTATGCTTTTTTTCCCTTTACATTCATTTGGTAAACAAAAAGATAACATACTTTTGGTTGCTTAGTGTCTATGCTTTTTTCCCCACTGTATCATTAGAAGCAGCCATGGTTGTTACACAAGCTGGTATTTAACCACTTGCTGACCACACTCCTTGCAGCTAGTGGTTATAACAAGCTTACAGAAAATGGTTGCAGCTGCTGTCATTTTTTACAGCTGGCAAATGGTGCTTTGGTGTTTCAATATGCTTTTAATTTGGTTTGAGTTATTTTAATATCACTTTTATCCAAAGCAGCAAAGATGTATTCATAAAACTATATGTATAATATTGGAGGGTGTTTGTTACAAATTAAAGTACAGTGAGGTTTACAGTTAAAATAGATGTAAGCTCTAACTGGATTAAATTTAGTTTAATAAAGCACTGTGTATAATAAACAATTTACATTTTTTTTCAATAAAATACTTGCTTCTACCATTTGTCATATTTGTTGCATCTCGGTATTGCTGATCTCCTGCATCTCTTTTGTAGCTGCTTCCTGTCAACAAGCATGCACTTCAGCTGCTGATGCACATCATTTCTCAGCGCAAGTTTTCTGATGGTGACAACAGTGGACCAAGCCTGTGCCATAAGTGTCAGCATGGTTGTTTGTAGTTGCTTGTTTTATCGTGGAAAAGCTTGCAACGTGACTATGCAAGTTCTATTTCACAGTTTCTATTTCACAGCTACATTGTGACAAGTGCAGGGAAAAAAATCTGTATGAATAAATTGTTAATATAATATAACGATAAAGTCAAGCTGGGATGGTGTAATAAAATCAAGCAGGGATACAAATTAGCACTACGGTGACATTTTCTCAGGTTTGTGATCTGAATGACATTGTGTTTCTTATGTGAACATTTGATGATCACACAGCCAAGGCAAATGTTATCCAGGTCATATGACATAATTATTGGGACCCTGGAATTAATCTGCAAAGGGATTTTTTTTTTTCAACACATACTCATTGTAACATGCTGAAATGTGGTTATTTTGTATGGAAAAACATATAATTGGAGGTGTGTGGTTTCGCAGTTTCTTAAATATTCATTTTAAGGTAAAACCAGCAAGCCACGTGGTAAGGAGACCTAGGTCTTCATTTGTTGTTTACAAAAAGTGCACTGGGACTGGTTACACTGGGAATCTTTACAAACAAGATGGGGTGGATAGCCAATCTCATAGACCATGTTTGTTTTTTTCTCCAGACAGGTCTGCTTATTCATTTTAGCTGAACCAAGATGCTGTGGACAATGTGTTCAACTCAGATAGAGCCACCCTGAGCTGCAAAGCTGGAGGCTGCTGCACTTAACCACTTCCCATCTGGCCAATGTGATATAAACGGCCAGATGGGAGCAGTGCAGGAGCGAGTGGCCGTTTATAAACGTCCTTCCACTTCCTTGCCTGTGCAGGACACAGCGGAACACCAATCGCTGTACGGGACCTCTGTGTGAGGTCCCGATCATGTGATCACTGATTGGCCAATCAGTGGTCACATGAATAGTAGTAAGCAAGATGTCACTTACTGACCTCATTGCTTACTATGTGTGAAATCTGTGAATGATCACAGAGGTCACATGGTACAGGGCTATTCACCACAGCCTTGTACCATGTGACAAGCTGTGACCAATCACAGCTCACACAGTATTTCTCAATGGTTGCAAGAATGCAGCCAGAGAGAAGGAGAAAGGATTGCTTTTACAGCCTTTATGGGTGTAAAAGCAATCAGTGTAAAAAAAAAAAAAAATCTTAAATCACCCCCCACAAGTAGTACAGTGTCACTATGGTGACACTGTACTTCTAGGGTGATGGTATGTAAGAAAAAACATAAATAATAATATAAAAAATAAAATAAAAATGTAAAAAAAAAATTGAAAAATTATAATGTTTGGTTATAAACTAATTTGGGTTATCTTTTTTTTTTACTAAAAAGATAACTGAATAAATTTTGGCCAAGATTTATGAAGAAAGATTATTTCTTTGCAAAATTTTAAAAGAAAAACACTTTTTTCAGAATTTGTGGACTTTTTCATTTATATAGCAAATGAAATAAAAATCCCAGTGATGAATAAATACCACCAAAATAAAGTTTTTAACTGTCTCAAAAAAATGCAAAAAAATTCATATAGGTACAGTATTGCATGACTGCGCAATTGTCATTCAAAGTGTGATAGCACTGAAAGCTGAAAATTGGCCTGGACAGGAGGGGGGTGAAAGTGTCCTGACTTGAAGTGGTTAAACTGCCATTTCTATAAGAACCTGTTTCTGGACTGTTCAGTACATGGACTATAAAAGGTTTGGTTGAACAGAAGTTTTTTTTTTTTTTGCAATTTTGCATTTACTTTGTGGCTGAATAGACTATGTAGACTTTATTTTTCATTCTTCTGTAATAATCAGCCTGTTAATAGCAGTGTTCTGTTGCAGCAGATGTAGGCAGAAAAGAGATGCATCAGCTGTGTCCAGGCCTCCATACTGATAGAACAGACTTGACTGCATTCTTGCAGCCATTGAGAAATACTGTGGGAGCTATGATTAGTCACAGCTTGTCACATGGTACAAGGCGGTGGTGAATAACCATGTGACCTCTGTGATCATTCACATATTTCACTAGTAGTAAGCAATGATGTCAGCAAGTGACATCTTGCTTACTACTACTATTCATGTGATCACTGATTGGCCAATCAGTGATCACATGAATCGGGACCTCACACAGAGGTCCCGTACAGCGATTGGTTCGTGGTGCCGCACTCTCCCAGGAAGCGAGCACAGGCAGGGAATGCAGGAGGACGTTTCTAAACAACCACCAGCTCCTGCACTGCTCCTGTCTGGCCATTTATGTACATGGTAAAAATGGTTAAAGAAACAAGTTGGTCCCTTATCTCCTGTATTGATGACAGCTGTAAAATAGTATGCAATTTCACATCACTTTGGGTCCTGGTAACAGTGGTCACCAGGTTAATTACAGAGAGGTACTCTCCTGAATGGGACACTGAGAGTATTAAATACTTGATAAGTGTTCTAACCCTTTTACATACTTCAGTCCAAAATAAATAGACTTTAAAAACACTTAAAAGGATAAGTTCACCTTTCATAACATATTACGTGTTACACCCATATTCAGGGTGTAACATGTAACATGTTATGAACGCACCGGCCACTGCTCCAGCTGGTCCCCCATTTTGAATTAAAAAAAACTTTTCAGCGCAAGGCTTCATCCACCGGGCCATGTCACTCATTCACTGTATTCTGTGAATGAGAAACTACAAGTCTCGACAACCTTAGAGGTTGTCGGCTTGTAGTTTTCAGTGAACTATCACGGCGCTGTGGAGAGCCGTGGTAGTTCATTGAATCCTCCTGTCAACATGTCTCCCTGCTCGTACATCCTGTACAGGCAAGCAGATTTACTGACAGATCTGCAGGAGATCTGCATGGCACCAGCAATCTACTGATTGCTGGTGCAATGCTTTACAGACTCCTGCAGAAAAAAATTATAAATGCACATTTTTTTAACCTGCAAAAAAATGTGCATTTATTATTATTTTTTTTTTACCAAAAGGTGAGCTTATCCTTTAATCACAATCACAATAAACAGACAAATACATTTTTGCAAAGCTCAATTTAAATTTGGTCTTGGCATTGACCCCTTCCTAGTTTTCCTTTTCCTGTCTATAACAGGACCAATAAGAAGGTTAGAAAAAAAGAAAAGAACAGTGCAAAATTACAAATTTCCACATGTACTGATCATTTTGACATATAATTTTCACTAATTGCAATTTCTACTTATGTTTGTTTCATTAAATGCTCAACATTAATTGCCCAGGCCCGTGTCAGCATTACCAAAATGCAACTACTGTCAGTGCCAATAAGCAGGTTTAGTACCTCTACAAGGCTAAATTATGTGATTTTTAGGATTCATTGTTGTTCCATTAAGTGACCTCTTGGTACAGAGGAGAACAATTCACCTTCAAGCCTCGGTTGTTGTACTAGTCATCAATTTGAGTTGTAGAGTATATGACCACTATAAAGAGAACATTCCCTGACCTCAATTTAATGTTCAGTCCTTTAAATTAAGAGACCTCACAAATACTATGACTGTTTTTTAATAACCACAGGTGCCAGACGTCTGCCATGTATTACTGAGTTTAGGATTTATTGAAGGAAAACCACAGTCATGGTTTTAATTATTATTAGAGGATATTTTCAGTTTTATTTATCAACTAGTGATCTTTAGAACCATATCTATATGCAAAAAACTGCAAAGAGACACAATTGTTACTATCTACCTGATATGCTTGAGTGCTATTAGCAGTTGGTTTTAGGATACAGAGTGTTCAGGAGTCAGAAATGTTACTGGGGAATTCACACGTGGTTTGGAGAGAAAAAGTCATGATATACTTTTATACCTAAGTATAAGAAGATGATAGAGAAAACTTTTGAGATGTTCTGTGTGTGGCCAACTTTCGTAATTGAAGGACTTGTTCTAAATTCTAATTGGAGGAAAGTGCATGATGCAGCTGGTTATTTACGGGAATCTTCTCTTTCCTTTCAACCTTCAAAATACCTTCTTTTTCACATATATTTGCCATATCACATCTAAAGAACCAGAATAAATTATTCATTATACATTGAAAGCCCAGAATCAGGAATTGGGACTCAGTCAGGTAGCAAATTGTAAGAACAGCCTCTATTTTTATGGTCTTACTACCACTCTCTTTTTCAAGAAGATACACACTGGGGTGAAAAATCAGGCTCAGTCTAAGGGAGGGTTATAACCCTGTTGTGTTTTTGTTCTGCCATCTGTGTCCCCATTGGAAGATGTCCTGTCTCTTACATTTCTGGGGCCAACTCAAAATTTGGGATATTCTTTTACTTTTACTTTCAATGATAATGGTAAACAGGACAAATAGAGAGGGAGAATCTTAACAGGGGTAAAGACAGCAATAAAAACCGGCAAGCATTCTAATCTATCTCTACTCTATCCAAAACTAAAAAAAAATAAGTTTTGCCTTTAGTTATATTTTAACTTTGCAGTGTGTGCGGAATTTCTCATACTACTACTAAAGAATATTTCCCAAAATTTCACAGACTATTCACTTCTGAAAGACTTTTCTTTCTTCCTCTTCCTCCCAAACTCCTATGAAATCTTACTGTAGATCGATCCTTCATCACCTTTTTAACAATGCTAAAGCTTTTATTCCATGGAAATGAAAGGACCCGTCTCCCTTCCCTTGATAGCTATGTGGCTAAGAAAGTGGAAGAGATCAGGAGGATGAAGGATCTCATCCTTTCCTCTCCGAAAACAAACATAGATTCATTACAAAACATGTTCTAATTGGATTTATTTTATTTATGCAGATGAGGGCAAGGTTCTGATGCATGCTAATTTGTGAGCTCCCTCAACATGTGCCAAGTATTGCTGCACTGCTTGTCAACAGCACACAGGAACAATTAGCAAAGAGTTCCTTGTCTCCCCACATTTAGCACCAATTCACCCCTCCCCCCACTTAGCACTAGTGTCTCCCCATCACCCACTGAGCAGCAGTGTTCCTTCGCCCCTTCACTTAGTACCATTGTTCCCCCTCTCCCCCAATTAGCACATTACCCCCTCCATTTAGCACCAATGCCCACCCCAACTTAGCACCAATGTCTTCCCCTTACCCCCATCTTAGCACTAATGCCCCCCTCCCCACCTGACATTGCACTCCTACTGTAAGTTGTACCCGCTTTTCTGCAGCAGCCTCTCTCTCTGATACCCTGTAGCTGAGGAAGAGAGGATTTTGGGTGGGAGGAGAGCTCTGTACTGGAAGGTGGGAGGGTTGTAAACTGGCCTGTGGGATATGCACACCTAAACCCTCCACTCTGTACATAACACAATCCTTAGCTCTGCACTTTATACGCAGTGCGTTCCTGAACTCTTGCAAGAGACGCCATAATGTGTCATGCATGTTGAGATGAAACTCATGCTGGGTTTGAGATTACTGAACTCCCCCCAGAAAAAAAAATTATCTACGGCCCTGGCAAGTACCATTGATTCTTAATGGCACCCCCACACATCTCTCAAAGAAGGGTACATTAACAGCCACCAAAATGCATGGTACCGGGGCGTGTCCAAGATGGCGATCCGAGCTCCGGCGCCGTATTCCGGAATCCGCTGCCATCTGTGCAGCAGCGGATCACAGTGGAGCAGCGGAGGGCTCTGGTATCATCCCGGATACCTGGGAGGTAGAATCCGGGCGATATTTCCGCCCTTCGTGGCGGGGGACGTTCGCGGCCTGGTGCGGCCGCGTGGGCCGGGGCTCCAGCACCTCCTATCCGCATCTGCTGCCATCCGGGCTGTGGGGGATCACCCGAGGACGTCTGCAGAGTCCTCTGCATCACAGAGGCTGAGAGAGGGACGTCGCTGAGTGTTGCTGCTCCACGCGGCGGCGGCGACGTTTGCGGCCTACACCATTTGCCAGAGGCCTCTTTTTACCTGGTCACAGTGAGTGGGGGGTACAGGTGGCATCCTGTTATCATGATCTCCCCACAGTGATTTGGGGAGTGGGCCTCACATTAATAGCCCCAGAGCCCATCATCTTCTCTGTCTGTGGCCCTTGCTGGGCTCAGAGGCCTACTGGGGCCTTGATACTGCCCCAGGGGGTGTCTCCCTGCGGGGCCCTGTGCTCAGAATCGGAGGTCCTCTGCTTCCTGCTTCCCACCCATCCCTCTCGTGTCCTGAGTTGGGATCTGGTGCTATCATCCTGCCCCGGAGTGAAATTTTTGCTGGTTGCTGTGACTTATGTTCTATCTACCCTTTCAAGGCTTGCTGAATATTTTTACAATATAATGTTATCGCAGATGGGTTTGACAGCATCCATGTAACTACAACCCTGAACCTATTTTGGGCGCTATAGGTCCCCTGGGGTTATAGTCTCCATTCACTTTCCAATTTTCAGTTGATCACCCCCGGGAGATTCTTTGTATGCCGTCCACCAAGAAAAAAAAGGGACAAGCTCAGAAGTCCCTCACGACATACCTCCTTAAGGCTCACGAGATTTGCGGCATGTCTCCAGTCAATACAGAGCAAGCATCCCTGTCCGATCCCGCACGGGATACCACCGTTCCCTTATCGGCCTTGGTCAGCGAAAATACACAGCAACTCACAAAAGGGGACTTGGAGTCCTGCTTGGAATCTATGTACGCCAAACTAGCCGCCAAATTTCAATCAGAATTGCATAAAAGCACTAATGTTCTCTCTCAGGAAATAGCCACGCTGGGCTCTAGGACAGACCGCTTGGAAACCAAACACGATGAACTTAGCCTGGCCTATGGTGAACTTTCCAGAGAGCATGATCATTTACAAACGGCCTTTTCACAACTGCAGGCGCAGGTTGAGGATCTTCATAATCGCAATCGCAGGAATAATCTGCGAATCAGGGGAATCCCGGAGTCTATGTCGGATCTTTCATTAATTATAATCAAGTTATTCAAGTCACTCCTTCCAGATCGTGACCCTGGATCTTTTGCTTGTGACCGCATCCACAGAGCCCTACGCCCTAAACCTCCTGCTGACAAGCCGCCTAGGGATATTGTCTTGTGCATGAAGGATTTTCTGACCAAGGAAGAAATACTCAGAGCTGCTCACAATACTCCAACGATCTCCTTTGAAGGCTCGGTTTTACAAATCTATCCTGATGTTTCTCCGGCCACGTTGGAGAGGCGTAGAAAAATGAAAGAAGTTACAACTGCCCTGTTCTCTGCTCGTATCCGCTACAAGTGGGGCTTCCCTTTTAAGCTGATAGTTCCACACAATGGGAGCACATATATC